ATCTTTACATGAAATCAAATAAAGTTTCATTAATGGTTTTAAACTAGGTTTACGAGCGACCTCTTTTAGACTTAATCCCTGGCTGATAATTGGCAGTTTGATCTTACACAATTAGACTAGAGAAGAGATAATGTACCTGACTGCCAATCTTAAGTTTTCTGTGTACATTAGAGATACTTTCTCACTATGGATTATCCATAAATTCACAAGATCATGATGCCATATTATTTTAACTTTCAAATGAACCTCTGTTTATTTTAATTCGATTAATTTCCCTGAAGAAGTTCGGACCAGATTGCTGAACGAAACGTTGGAATTAATCATTTCAATTTCGCTGAGATTTTACAAATATAATTTTATAAATATTTTAACTTTCGTTAGTAAATTTATTATGTAGTAGTGTACACTTTTCACTGAAAGGATACTTACTACTGACTGATATGAGTAGTTGGAAGTCGCTCACATCAAACAGTACTGCCTGCGAGACAAATGGAAGTGATTTAAAAAAGCGAATGGCAGTTCCTCCACTTGTAGTTGACCTGGTCAGCAGAGTACCTTATTAGGCTCATTCCAGAAATTCGAATAAGTTCAAACAACTTGAATTCTGATTAGCTATTCAGGAGAACAGTTACAAAACTGACAGTGAAAACCAGTCCTCCGATAAAACAGTTTTGAAGGCCATAAAGTTACTGAAAGTCAAGAAATCATTAGGACCAGACGAAATCCCCCGGGAAGCACTGAAAACGGACAAAGAGATATGCTGATGCCACCATTAGAGAAGTTTTGTGAGGAAAGAAAAGTACCCGCCGTCACCGAAAGCATTTCCAACAGGCTTCTGCAGAGTGTTATTGACATTAGGCCTCTATGGCTCAACAGTGGAGATCAAATGGCCTTTAACTGGACACTAGTAACTAGTGTAATGTGTCTGGTCATTTCTTTGGTGCAGACTGAATTCTATCAGTCAGGTATTTGCAATGTGGCCACCATTCTAGGTAGCTCGCCATCATGGTGCACATTGATTTGATGATAATAGATGGTTGGAAGCGATTGGCAGGAAGAATTGGACCAAGTTTTCATGCCATTTGGCACTCATCAACAAGGCGTATCTGCAACATCATACTGGTTACTAGTGTCCAATCAAAGTATCTGATACAGTCTTACAGAAGGTCAGTCGCGAGCCCAAATAGCTAGCTCATTGGTAACGTCTCTGACTGCAGCACTCACTGGATGACGTGGGTATGAATCTCAGAAGGGATATGAATTCCTTCAAGATTGCAGATACGCCTTGTTGACTGACTGGTGAGTGTCAACTAGCATGAAACCTAGGTAGAAGGCTTCGTGTGGCCAATTACCTCCAACCATCTGATATCCTCAAATCATATGGCCTGTCAAAAACGATAAGCAAGAAGCAAATGTGGCAAGCGTCTGGTCAATTAATAACCTTTCACCGAACAAATACTCTGGAGTAAACAAAAATGGATTAAATGTACGCTTAGGAGAAGATCAAGTGACATCGAATGCCTCACAGGCCCTAAAGTGAACACCACGTGGGAAAGGATGAGTCAGGCGTAGATGAAAGGGTGATATCGATGAGACCGCGTGAGAAAGAAATAGAAGTTTTTGGACAATTTTGGAGGCAGATAAAAAGGACTACGAAGAAAAAAGTGAAATGGAGTTGTGCAATTGAAACCCTATGTTCTCCTCGGAACCCAAGAGAACATTAATGATAAAACTCAGGGAATTGGTAACATACAGAGTTAAGTTCTTCATTTCCGAACTACACAATTCAAAGTGAAAATTTGTCAACACCTCAAAGCAGAGAAACATCTGTCCAGTCAGTTCACTCTAACTATTAAGTGCTACTGTTTGAAACGAGTGTTATCCAACCACTCATATCAATTACTAGTACATGCTATCTTGCTATAGTGTTTGTTTACCTTGATTACCATTGAAAGTTTCCTTCGGATCACATACTGTGATTTCCAAGTCTGACATTAATGTATCTTTTGTGACGAACAGGCTTCTCTATTGGTCATGAAGTCATGATTTATGCATGTACTGTCATGATAACTTTATTGGACAATTTTGATCCGTTTATCCAAAACTTAATTTTCAAAAGTTTCATAAAATATAAAATATCATGTGTTTTGTCTAACAGAGTGTTGTTGCTGTTGTTGTCTATCTGATCATCGCTTTTCCCAGTATGACTTTTATGTCTATCTCAGTATGGGAGATATTTTCAAGTGATCAGATGGTTTTAGTGTCGTGTTCTGGGTGCAGCTTCTAGTCAAGTTAGACGAACTCAATATCACTCCGTTATAACGGTATCACTTCATTTTTTTGGAGGATCTGGACTTCGCCGATGATATATGTCTGATTTACCACAAACTGGAAGATATGCAAGTGAAAAGCAACAAGTTCGCAGAAGAAGCATCCAGAGAAGATAGGACTTCCTTCAGGTGAACATAGAGAAAACAGAAGTACGTGATGAAGATTCCTTGACAAGAACAACAACAACAGACAACGATCAGCATAAATAGAAGGAACCTGAAAGAAACAACCTCTTTTACCTACCGACCTGGAAGCATCTTTTCAAATACAGGCAGACGGAACTGACGAGGATATCAAAGCAAGGATCGGAAAAGCAAGACAAGCTTTCACTGCTCTCAAGTCTGTATGGAGGTCAACAGCACTCAGCATCAAAATCAGAATAAGATCCGGATTTTCAACTCCAATGTGAAGTCAGTCACTGCTACTATACGGATCAGAGACTTGGCGTGTCACAAAGAGCACCTCAAACAAGCTACAGACCTTCATTAACAGCTGTCTTCGCTTAATACTCAAGATCAGATGGCCGGAAAGGATTAGCAACAGAGATCTCTGGCAATGAGCGAACCAACCAGAAACCGATTGTGAAACAAATATGCAGGAAGAAATGGAGATGGATTGGCTGGTCATACTCTGAGGAAACCATCAAGTGACATCACTAGACAAGCCATTGCTTGAGTGGAACCCGAAAGGGAAGCTGCGTGTTAGTTGGTCGTCAGTGCAAGGTTGGGGTGACTTGGAGGAGGTCATGTGAAGAGGAGATGAAAACGTGTGGGCAGACTTGGAGCCAGGTGAAGACTCTAGCAGAGAACCGAACGCAGTTGAGACGCATGGCTGAAGCCCTATATTCCTCTAGGAATTAAAGGAAACAATAATAATAATATAACGGTATCAATCAACTACAATTCTAAGCTAGACAGAAACAGACAACACCTAAATCTAATTATAATTCGTAAGTAAAATGAAAGCTATCAACTTCATTCAGCAACTATGTACCACTTTATCCACAAAGAAAAACTCAGCGAAGCGTTCAAAGTGAATACAGGAGTAAAACAAGCCTGCCTACCTGCCTATTATCACCGATGATATTCTTGATTAGGGTGGACTGGATTATGCATCAGACCGTGTGTTGGGGGCGAGAAGGCAGGAATACGTTGGACCACCGATAAGGAGACTCTAGAAGATATGGATTTCGCGCGTGGGTGATTTATGTTTCATGTCACACAAACTCGAAGACTTATAGGTGAAAATCAACCAACTGACTGAAGAGGCAGGCAGCGAAGACAGGACTCGAAGTGAACACAAAGAAGCAAACCAACCGCTATCACCGGGTTAAATTTTAAAGAGGTCACTTTCTTCACTTATCTAGGAAACATCGTTTCGACTAAAAGGTGGAGACACAGTTGAGGATGTCAAAACTAGACTAAATCGGAAATGCCAGACAGATATTCACAATGCTGCAGTTAGGGTGGGAATCTTCTACACTCTGAATAAAGGACAAGATTCGAACTTTCAACACCAATGTTAGTTCTGTCAGTTCTTCTTTATGAGTCAGAGACTTAGCTTGTATGTCACGAAAAGCATTACCGACTGGCTGTAAAAGTCAATGAACAGATGCCTTCGCTGTCTCCATGCTGAAGATCAGATGGCTGGACAGAAAGAATTAGGTGGAGGAAACTCTCGAAACTAACCAATCAAGAACCTGTTGCTCAGCAAATATGGAGAAGCAAATGGAGATGGATCAGGCTCACTATGAAGAGGCCCTCTAGGACCTCGAGTGGAACCAGACTGGGAAACGACGAGTTCGGCATGGGTGTGAAGGTGACATGAAAGCGATCGTGGAGCCAACTTAGGAGAACTTCAGAAAGTATAGAACTAAATGCAGATGTACTGTTCAAGCCCTCCCCAAGTTCCACTCGAACCCCAAAGGATTAACAATGACAACAAAATGAAAGCGATTTTTCTCAATATTTTTTATATATTATGCACCACTGGTTAAAAATCAATCATCTCAAAAACCATAAAACTAAACAAGAAACAAAAACAAAACAGGCGAGAAAGATCACCATTCTCAGTTTCAATTTCACTAACAAATACGTGAGAGAAAAGAAAAAGAGACAGTGCTCTGATAGAAAGTTTGTTAACTGTTTAAACTTGTGAATGACTGAACACCCTTTTCTGCTTGAAAAAGGAACTTCTCTTGTGTTTTTTTCAGTCTAATTTTATGAATAATAAGAGGGAAATAAAATGTGTTATTATTATTATAAGTAGTATAAACATTTGTCAAGGAATTACATGTATCTTTAAGGGAAAAATGGGCTGTACAAATTCCTTATTATTATTGTTATTATCATTGTCATCAGTAGTAACAGTGTGAGTAGTAGCAGTAATATCAGCAGTAATAATAATAATAATGGTAAATATGTATATATTAATAAATATAGAGTTATCTAACCAATAAGGAGTTGTTCAAAAATAATAATAATAATATTAATGATAATGATTAGCTGTCACTTAAAGATTCACAAGAGTATGTATGAGTGGCATTCATTTCGTGATAAGATGTGTTAAGTTTTTAAAACGGAAGGAGGAATATGTTAGATGTAAAACTGAAAATAAGGAATTCATGAAATGGTGTGAGGCAATATTACTCCTTAATAATAATAATAATAATAATAATAATAGTAATATTGTCATTTTTATTATATAATTGAGCAGGTCAAAATAATCTAGAAATTTTGTGTTGTCGGTTTTATTTTGCCAATGTTTATGATGGATACTGGATATTTTCCCCTACCGCGCATGTGATTCCAGAGGAAAGAATTCAAAAATCGATAAAAGCTGTTGGTTGACATTTCAGTTAATTGTTGTTGTGTGTGTGGGTGTGTTTTGTAACAGAGATTATCTGATTCTTGAGATTCTTGAGCTGTGTTCAAAGGCTTTTTCTCTCTCTAACAGATTCCATGAATCCTAAAAGAAAAAGGAATGGAAAATATATAAAGTTCGGGTGACATACAAACTTAGAGAAATATTGAGTTTAATTATAAATTACTGATACTCAACAGATGTGTCTTGAATTTCCCTTAGCGATAGGTGTTTCTTTCTACGGGATGTGGTTGTTAGAGTTATGCCCAACTTACCCTCTTTTCTGAACTTACAGCCGGCTGGGGAACTAGGTAACGTTGATTGATAAATTAAAGTGATACCCTTTAAACTTAGATTATGAGATTTGTGAGGAATTGGATTAATTAAATTTCACTTGTTAGATTTCATCATGAACCATCATCAGTTAGAGAGCACTGGACATCCGTTTCAACCTATTTCTGGGCTATTTAGCAGTGCTCCCCCTTGATTTACCATAAACTGGAAGATATACAAGTGAAAAGTAACAAGCTGGTAGAGGAAGCGTCCAGTGAAGATAGGACTTCCTTCAGGTGAACCTAGAGAAAACAGAGGTGATGAAGATTCCTGACCAACAGCAACAGCAACAACAACAGAAAACAATCAGCATAAATAGGAGAAATCTGAAAGAAACAACCTCCTTCACCTACCTACCTACCTTCCTGGGAAGCATCCTTTCAAATACAGGCGGAAATGATGAGGATATGAAAGCGAGGATCGGGTAAGCAAAACAAGCTTTCATTTCTCCAAGTCTGTGTAGCGGTCAACAGCAATCGGCATCATAACAAGATACGGCTTTTCAACTCCAATGTGAAGTCACTGCTATTATACGGATGGATCAGAGACTTGGCCAGCGCGTCATGAAGAGCACCTCAAACAAACTACAGACATTCATTAGCGGCTGTCTTCGCTCAAGATCAGATGGCTGACCAGGAAAGATAAGCAACAGGGGTGCCCGGGAGCGAACCAACCGAGTAAGAACCAATTGTGCAACAAATGTGCAGGAAGGAATAGAGGTGGATTGGCCATACTCTGGGGAAACAAACTATTGAGTGAGTGACATCACCCCCAATGCAGGCCATCACTCGAGTGGAACCTGAATGGGAAGCTGCGTGTTAGTTGGTTGTCAGTGAGAGGGTGGGGTGACATGGAGGAGGAAGTCATGTGAAGAGGAGATGAAAGCATGTAGGCAGACGTAGAGCCAGGTGAAAAGGTTGGTGGAGAAGGGAACGCAGTAGAGACTTGCGTCTGAAGCCCTATGTTCCTCTAGGAATTAAACGAAACAATAATAATAATACCCGTGATCCCATTGCCATGACCCGAACCCAAGACGCTAAGGTTACGAGATTAAGTTTGCTGACTGTTCAGCACCCACTTGGGCTGGAGTTGAACGACCCGTGAATTCTTACTTTGGCAGCTTGTGATATACCACTGTCCTCACCAATACGTTCAATGAGTCTCCACTTCACCTTCAGATTATTCATTAGCATATTATGCAAGTTTCATCTGAAACCGTCTCATTATTACACTACTGTTTTTCTTGAATAACATAAATTCACATCATAACACAGAGAAATCTCAATGTATTCTAGAATTTTCGAGGTTTAAATTATTCCCAAAGGTAGGAGTTTTCGATACTTACTTTTACCATTTTACTAATTAAACTTCTAAAGATAAAAGTCACTAGTCAAGTTAAACCATTGGAAGTCAGAGAGTAATTGGCAGATAATTCGTCCTAGTTTGAGACACTTCAACAGCACGCATTCGTGACCTTCAGTGTCCGAGGGAAGCATGTTATTATTCAACCAGTGAAACGAAGTCCATTGGCTCATGAATTCTAACTTCTGCCCCCTGGCGATATACGTTACTACCGGTTATCTGATTTTATCAACGATTACTTGGCCTCACACTTGACTCAGTACAGCTCACCAGTAGTGGCCACACATCAATCCTTTCAACCTTCAGGAGGTCTATCTCTTAGTTTGCCAGTAATTATAGGCAGATTAATTCTGAAATTAGATTTCATCATGTAGCAAGTTTTATTTTTTTTCTCTGTAAAATGAATCACTATTCCTACTGAAACTGTTTAATTTACTGCCTTCTTCCAAATGTTAGCATAAGAAAGTAATAAAAAATGTTTCAGTATAGCATCATAAAACAAACAAATGAAATGTAAGACGATATAATATCAACAATTAAGTCTCTGACGTGATACTAGAAGAATTTAACGATCAAATATTACAAAGTGCATATTCGTAATATTAGTTTATTAACTAACATTTGAAATTGGTTCAAGAGATAAAGGATTTAGGTAATTGTGGATTATCTAAGCTGGATGATTCAATTGTGAAGATTTAATTGTTTCCCTAGAAATCTTCATTTTTATAAAAGTTTTGAATGAACATGCTATACAAAACCCAATAAAACTCTTTTAAATAACGGAGAAGACTTCTAGCTGACATGGATGCCTTTTGTGTTGAGGTTTTTTTCCTTCACGTTCCCAGTGGAACATCGGGCTTCAAGCTAGTGGCTTGAAGTTTCTGTAGCATTGTTTATTTTTACAGGTTGGGGTTGCCAGCTTCATGCCCAACCTGTCCTCTTTACAGGCTTTTTATTACTGGTTTGGCGAGGTAAAGGAATGCGTCGATCGGGGATCGAATCCCGGCCCAAGTGCATGGCGAGCATCCTAAATGCTGTGCCACCGACGCACGCGTTGAGGTTAGCACTGAGGAAATCGCCTACAAAGACAACATAAACTTCACAATTAAACCTTTCAGTACGGTAAGCACAAAAACCAACAGAACTCTTAATCGCGCTTTTTATAAACGAAAGGTTTCAGTAATTGATAGCAGTAGCACACACTTAACCATTAACTTCACACATAATGAATTCAGTAAAACACATAACATTGTTATTTTGCATAGGTTATACGTTTGATTATCACTGAATTTGAGAGGTACTCTGCTGGTTACCAATGAACGATTAGTCAGTGCGTCAACAATAGAACATTTTAAATAAAATAACTGATTTTTCAAGTGTTGGTGTGTGGAGGAGATTTGGTTGATTTCAAGTCCAATCACGAACTCTGATATCAGTTAGAGAACTACTGAAAACTAGGAAGTACTGGATAGCTGCTTCGCATCTATGCACCCATAGGGGATTGAGCCCAGGAGCTTCGAGGTATAAAGTGGCGTCCCTCAGGTTGGGTGTAAGGACACTGATAACACTGACTAGCTGTCATACTGTATATTACAAATCGGCAGAAGTTAGAAATAACTAACCAATGGATTCCAATATTGTTATTATTATTTCCTTTAATTCATAGAAGAACATAAGGCTTCAGCCGTGCGTCTCCATTGCGTCCGGTTCTCTGCTAGAGTTTTCACCTGGCTCCAAGTTTGCCCACATGATTTCATCTCCTCTTCACATGATCTCCTCCAAGTCACCCTTGCACTGACGGCCAACTCGCCGCTTCCCTTTCGGGTTCCACTCGAACAATGGGTTGTCTAGTGATGTCACTTGATGGTTTGTGTTTCTCAGAGTATGGCCAATCCATCTCCATTTCTTCCTGCCTATTTGCTTCACAATCGGTTCCTGGTTGGTTCACTCCCAGAGATCTCTGTTGCTGATCCTTTCTGGCCATCTGATCTCGAGCGAAGTACTGAGTGAAGACAACTGTTAATGAAGGTCCGTAGTTTGTTTGAGATGCTCTTTATGACGCGCAGTGCAAGTCTCTGATCCGTATAGTAGCACTGACTGACTTCACACTGGAGTTGAAAATCCGGATCTTATAATCATTTTCATGCTGAGTGCTGTTGACCTTTACACAGACTTGAGAGTAGTGAAAGCTTGTCTTGCTTTTCCGATTCTTGCTTTGATATCCTCGTCAGTTCCGTCCACCTGTAATTGAAACGATGCTTCCAGGTAGGTAGGTAAAGGAGGTTGTTTCTTTCAGGTTCCTTCTATTTATGCTGATTGTTGTCTGTCGTTGTTGTTGTTGCTGTTGGTGGTGTTGGCCAGGAATCTTCATCACCTCTGTTTTCTCTATGTTCACCTGAAGGAAGTCCTATCTTCTCTGGATGCTTCTTCTGTCAACTTGTTGCTTTTCATTTGCATATCTTCCAGTTTGTGGGAAATCAGACATATATCATCGGCGAAGTCCAGATGCTCCAAGTTTTTTGTGTGGATGCATTTTATGCCTGTTTTCTCGCTGATCGCCACTCTCTGTCGCATTATCCAATCTACTGCAATCAGGAAAATCATTGGCGATAGTAGGCAGCCAGCTTGTCTTACTCCTGACCTCACTTTAAAGGATTCCGTAAGTTTCCTGTTGTGGATTACTTTGCATTCATCATTGTCATACAGCTGTTGGATGAGGTGTATAATTGTCGGGTTGGATTCCATCCTTGTGGCTTAATGTTAAACGAGCTGACCTTGCAACATAAAGGTCCTGAATCCGATTTCTAATGAAGTCATGGGTGAGGACAGCTGAATAATCCCAAAGAAGAGCGGAACACTTGTCCAGTACCCCATATGTTCCAACGGTTCTCTAAAGTGAAGTCAATTTTTGATGAAACTTAGAATAATATAATAAAGGTATATTGCACAGCCATGAGATGATTAGCCGAAGACTTGATCCTACAAACTATTGATGACTGAAATTGAGGTTTGTTATGACCAGTTTTCACTTTTACTACAGTCCTTGTTTACTTCTTCTGATGTTTTTGGATTTATTATATTCCCTGAGGTATCAACCATTCAGATTTATACATCACACAGTTCAGGTTTACTGGAATGAGATAGTGTTTTGTAAGTAAATGGAGAGAAGTGCTTATTGAAAAGTCACATCAAAATTTGAAAAATAAATAAATTCTAGCAAAATCCAACACTGAGATCTTGAGCGAAAAATCATTATTCATGTATTATTACTGTACTACTTGGAGAAAGAATCGAATGGATTACTGTTGGACATAAAATATAAACAGTTACTTAATTATGGTTAACAAACAAGTATTATTATTTATTTATTGTTCCCTTGGGTTCCTAGTGGAACATAGGGCTTCAACTGC